ATGAATTTTTTCTGTTATTTTCTGTTTATGCAATAATTCAACTAAAATTTTTAATAAAAGTAAATTTATTTACTTTTATTTAGTAAAAGTTATTTGGACATTTAATAATCTTTAGTAAAAAAATACATATATATATGAAAACAATTTTGTTATTTTCATATATTTTTTATTCATATATTCACAATAAGACTAATATCCGGCCCACTGTGCACTGTCAAGATTGTATCTACAATCAGTGATGACAAATCCAGAAGTAGAAAAAACTCTTTCAAATGATGTGTATTGTATGAAAAACTCTCAATAATTTTTTTTTTTTTTTTTGCCAAATAATAATATTAATAATACAAATTTTAACATATTACAAATTTAGCGGCAGGACTTCTAGAAGATCATGAGAATCTTATCATGAAGCCCTTTACAAAGCTTTTTAGTATTGAGTATAATATAATATAAATACGTAATATTATAATGAAGTTATAAAAATTCGTAAAATAACAAAAACAATATGAAGTTTAACAAAACACAGTAATAAAAAGCAATAAATTACAAACATAAAATCCATTAAATACATAAGTTTGCTAAGAACTCATGGAAATATTCGTAAATAGTAAAACATAATACAATAAAGTCTAATATATCAGCAATAATGATAAAAACTCAAAAATAGATAAAGATGTTTTCAATTGAAAAGATTTCTTTAATTTTGGTTTTGAATGAGGAGTAGTTTAGTTTGATTGAAAAGTCAAAATTAGGTAAAACTATTTTGTTCCAAGGAAGAGGTCCACTATAGGATATACAAAATTCGTCGTATTTAGTTTTGCAAAAAGGAGCATTAAGATTGTTGTCAATTCGTAAATTATATTTGTTTTTCGGTTTTAAATAATAAAGATATTGAAATACATGTGGAGATAAATTTTCTTTACACTTGAACATAAAGCATACAATATTAAAAATATTAAGTTGATAAACATTCAAAGCTTTCATATCTTTAAGAAGTGACGCAGAGACGATTTTTAAAATTAATTGCGCAAGCTGTGTGTTTCTGATGATTAAAAAGAGTTTTAAGTTTTGTCTTTTGAGTGCTTCCCCATATAATATTTGCATAGTTTATATGACAGTGAACAAATGAATAGTACAATTGAGTCAGCTGCCGTTTATTTAGTATGTTTCTAGCTTTATAAAGAATACCGATGCATTTGGAAACTCTAGAAGAGATAACGTTAATGTGATGTTTCCAAGTTAAATTTTCATCAATATAGATTCCTAGAAACTTTGTTACTTTTTCTCTTTTTATCATTACATTGTCAATATATAGTTCAGGTAACAAATGTGGTATTCTATATTTTTTATAGAGTGGATAAAAAAGTGTCCATTTAGTTTTAGCAATGTTGAGAGATAACCTATTTATTTTTAACCAATCAGAAACTTTTTTTAATTCATTTGTCATGTTGTTGAAAAAAATATTAATATTTTTATGAGATAGAAATAAATTTGCGTCGTCTGCAAAAATTATTTTTGTTAGGCTTAAAGTTTTATGAAGATCATTTAGATATATTATAAAGAGAAGAGGTCCAAGTATGGAGCCTTGTGGAACACCATACGTTATATTTATAAATACTTGAGACGAGGATTCTTTATTATAAACATATTGCTTACGATTTGTAAGATAGCTTTTTAACCAATTGAAGGCGTTATCCTTTATTCCATATGATAATAATTTTTTTATTAGAATTTGATGGTTGACGGTCAAAAGCTTTAGATAAGTCAATAAATACTCCTAATGTGAAATGAGATTTTTTATAAGATTCTGAGATGTTGCGCGTTGGAGAATAGCGTGTTCTGTTGAATTATTTTTTTTAAAACCAAATTGGTTTTCGTATAAAATTTTATTGTTAACTAGATGGTCGTAAATTCGATTGAACATTATTTTTTCTAGTATTTTTGAAAAGACTGAAAGAACTGAAATAGGGCAATAGTTATTTATGTTTGTATGATCTCCTGTCTTGTAGACAGGAAATACTTTAGCTATTTTTAGACAATCTGGAAACATTCCTTGACTGATGGGTGCTCTAAAGATTTTAAAAATAATGCGTTTTATAACATTACAAAAGTCTATTATAATATTCACATTAATATCATCATACCCAGATGTTTTATTTCTTTTTAATGATCTAAAGGCAATTTCAAATTCATCATAAGTTAGCTCAGTAAAGTGAAAACTTGATGAAGTTGATGTTTGGAATTCAGCTGATTTATTTTCGATATACGGAATACTATTTGCTAGTTTAGTTCCAATTGTTGTAAAAAATTTGTTAAATTCAGCTGCAATATAGTTTGAGTCGTTAATTAGTTTGTTGTCAATTTTTATTTCATGTGGGAGAGAATTTGTATTTGTTTTAAGTTTTCCTGTAATTTCTTTCATTATGTTTCGAATTATTTTTATGTTTATTGATCAAGTAGGAGTAGTATTTTTTTTTTTTGCATTTTTACGAAGTTTTTCAAATAAGGTTTTATAGGTGGTATAGTTATTTTTATGTTTTACTAATTTTGATTTTAAATATTTAATATATAGCTTTTGTTTTATTTTCGAGGATTTTTTAAGACCTTTTGTAATCCAGGGACATGATATGTCTTTTGTTTTTACAACTGTTTCACACATAGGAAAATTTGTATCATAGACTTTATCATAGACTATAAAATGTTTTAAAAAAAGTGTTGTAAATTGTGTCTATATTATTATTAAAGTTTAAATGTGCCCAATTTATTAGCAACAAATGTTCTTTGAAGGAGTTTAAATTAATGTTGTTGAACAACCTCTTTTTTATGGTGACACTTTTTGCATTTCTTTTTTAAAGTTTTTTTTTTTTTTTTTTTTTAATTTAATTCACCTCCTCAAGGCCGAGAAGGCCACTACAGACGAGGAGGCTACTTATTTGTGGCTATAACCCTCTCTCAACTCTATAACTCCGAAACACGAACCTTGACGAACAAGGCCGCTGCGCAGAGAAACGAGTTAAGCGCGGTAAAGTCTAGCTTTATTGAAAAAAATATAGGAAAATGATCAGATACATCTGTTTTAATTATTCCTTTTTTAAGCGATATATTAAAAAAGTCAGTGGTTAAGATATTGTCAATTAAAGTGGATGAATAATTTGTAATTCTTGTTGGACGATTTATTATTGGTATTGTTCCTGTTTCAAATATATTGTTGTAAAATTGTAAAATAATGACTTTAAAACAATTCCCTTGGACATTAATTCCGCACGATGATTTCTTGCATGAATGGAATAAAAGCTGTTGCGCTCAACTCAAGAGAGTTGGAATAACAATATGAGAAATAATATGAGAAACTGCACACAGTTTAACATAATATAATTAATTGTAATAAATAATTATAAAATAGAAATAAATGTTGAACAAAAACCAAAACTAATTCTCTTTGGGATCGTCCATAAATTATGCAATGCTAAATTTATTTTAAATATAGAGGTAAATATAAAAGCCTTAAGCTTTTTTATGCGGCGATTTTTCATTAAACTTATTGTGCTATTTTTTATTTAACTTAAGGTTTTGTGAAGAAGAACTTTTGACCCTTTTTTGTTTTGTTCATTTGTGAAATCTAAAGTTGCGTAATTTATGGACGACCTCATTTCCTAATAATCACGTTTAATGGCACATTGTTTAACAGATTGTGTAAAAATCTTCAATCGAAACTGCACCAAAGGCCGGCGCGATGAAGGGGTGTGTGTGTATGTACCCCCATCAATGATTTTTTCGTTCATTTAGTCGGCAAATTTGACCCTTTTTGACTAGTTAGTCGGTAAATTTAGACAGTCAGTCGGCAAATGTCGTTATGGCAGTCGGCAAATTTTAAAAAACGAGGACCTTTTATTTTTTTAGCCGGCAAAAGTTGTAATAGCCCCCCCTCCCCACGTAACACCAACTCGCGCCGGCCCTGACTGCACCTCATAATTTAGACGAACACATTGAAATTTTATTTGCAATAATCAATTATGTAAGGGTTTTTGGACATTTAGAAATATTGTGGTGCTCTCTAAGTTTTGGGCAACAAACTAGATTTTTTTTCAACAAAAATGTGTCTTCTCTCTGAAAATAATTTTATTTTAAATGTTAAAATGTTTTAAAATTTTAAATAGTTAAAAAAAGATAGGGTTCCCGTTAGAGTAAATAATTTAATTTAACTTAAATAGAAAAATAATTTTTTATATAAATATTATGCAGTTTACTTTCAATACATAAATTTATAAAAACAAATAAAAACAATATACTATATTTAATTATAACAAGAATCAGATTAATGAACATTAATATATATATATATATATATATATATATATATATATATATATATATATATATATATATATATATATATATATATATAGAATAGGTTATAAATATATCTTTTATAGCTAATATATATATATATATATATATATATATATATATATATATATATATATATATATATATATATATATATATATATATATATAGAATAGGTTATAAATATATCTTTTATAGCTACGATGCTGAGGTGCAGGTTTTCACACTAAACTTAAAGGTAAAAAATAATATAAATATAATTATTGTTTCGGCAGGAATTTTATTGAATCAAATCAGGCAAATTCAGTTCCGACCGGATTTTAAAATTTCTATTCCGGTACACCCGTACTTAAAACACAAAATACAAAAAGTTAAAACAAATGCTCATTGTAAAAGTTTTTCTTATTTAAAATTTTTTTTTTTTTATGTAGTATATTTCCACCCCTTAGCTAACACGTCAAAGAATTTTAGAGTAATAAACTATTGGTTATAAATATATTAAATATGTTAAACACCACTTCAAACTTTTTCATTTACAAAACTTTTTATTTCATCTAAAAATAAACATCTAAAATTTTTTTATATAATATATATAACATCAAATTCATAAGTATGTATTTGTATAATAAATATTAAAAAAAAAAAAAATCCATACCTCAAAACTATTCACTTAAAACGTTTAAAAGATTACCTTATGTAAGTTATAAAAAGTGTCAAAAGATTTGTTTTCCTGTCAAAATAATACAAGTTTAAAAAAATTTGTTTATGTAAAAAATAATTTTCATTTTTAACGCTTACAATAAGATTTGCGCAGTATGACTAGAATATAGTGCTTTCATTAGGGACGACTTTAAAGAATGTAGCAGATTTGCTTTTAACATTTTTATAAAAGATATATGGACCAAAAAATAGTAACTACACTCCAGTTTAGATATAACATCACAGATCACACTGTTGCGGATGAGATTTAACATAGCATTCGTTGAGAGCAGCTCCATATTGAATCATCAACAAGGTCAAACCTTGAACTCTGTCTTCTGATTTGCGCTATGAAAAAATTGATTCAAAGATTAATAAATGAACTTTTTTTTACAAACTCGTTTAAGCTATAAAGCTTGTAAAGGATACATAGAAGCTTGTAAAGAACTACATAAAAGCTTATAAAGGATACATAGAAGCTTGTAAAGAACTACATAGAAGCTTGTAAAGAACTACATAGAAGCTTGTAAAGAATTACATAGAAACTTGTAAAGGACTACATAGAAACTTATAAAGGACTACATAGAAGCTTGTAAAGGACTACGTAGAAGCTTATAATGGATTACATAGAAGTTTGTAAAGGACTACATAGAAACATACATTATCAGGTTTAATTATTACAATTCTTCAAAGTTATCTGGTTGTCTTATCTGGATAACTTATCTGGCTATATGTAAAAGAGCTTAAAAACAAATATTATATTTAATTGTGCTTTTGTATTAATTAATGGAAATTCTAAAAAGAAATTTAAAAAACATAAAGGACATCTTAATTACCATATTTTAGCTCAGCAAATTATAAAAAACTAAACTCAGACAGAGATAAAATCACGGTAGCATCGAGTGAATTACAAACATGCTAACAGAATGTTTACAAACATGCAAATCTATAGAATATTTACTAACATGTAACCCTACAAAATGTGTACATACGTGCAAACATACAAAAATTTTACAAACTGGAAAAAAAATATAACAAGCAAGAATACAGAATTTTTACTAACTGGAAAAATCAACAACAGACAATCATGATCTTATATTGAAAATTGTAACAAAATCTATCCAATTTTTTTATTAAATTTTTTTTTTAAATTTGTTAATTGTTACTTTCTATATATTATTTTACTAGGTAATAATGAAAAATATTCTTCTTTTCCTAAATTTTAAATTTTTAGAGATTTACAATGTTTCTCATAAGGTGTCTTTAATATTACTACTAAACTACTTTTGATGATTACCATCTGAGTCCCTTCAATGCACTGAACAGTGTATTAAAGAGACCCAGACACTAAAACTCATCATAATGGTTTTAAACAGTGAAATAGATATTAGAATACAATTTAGAACTGTTTATTTACACTTAAAATGTGAATAGGCAAATTATATGGTTGAAGTGGAGAAAAAAATAATAAAGAGAAAAATACTGTTTAAAAAATGTTAATAAATAATATTTCATTAAGTATTTTTTAAAACATTATATTGTTATTCTATATATTACCTGCATTTTAAAACTTGTTAGGCTAAAATTGGTTAGTAATAATGTATGTGTGTGTGTTTATATATAAGATTTTAGGTAGGAGTTACTCATTTTAGATATTAAACTACTGTTTTTATTTTTAAGGCTTAAGTGTCATAAATGAAATTTATCAATTTATTAGACTCAACAATAAAAAAGAAGACAATTTTAAATAACTTTATTGAAGAACAAGAACAAGAGGCAATTTAGCAAATTTGTTTCTACATATAGTAAGAGATGGGCTTGAAGTAAATGTACTAACGGAAAGGGGGAGGCATACCTATCTTGAAAAAAGACTTTTCAGATTTTATCTGAACAAAATAAAAAAATCATTCATTAATTTCGAAAATCATTCATTAATCTCATTTTTCTCAATTCTTAGTTGTTTTCGAAACTTGAATTATATGATTTGATCAGAGATCTGAATCTGACTAAAGATCATAACTGCTAGCATCATAAGATCATAATGAGCTGCTAGTATCAAGATTAGAAAAATTAGTTACAAAAAGGTGTTATAATATCATTTTATTGATAATGTTCACAAAATGTTGCTCTATTTTTTTTAAATGGAAAATGAACTATGTTATTGCTGCAACATTGACTATGTTATTGCTGCAATGCCCTCTCACTGAGTCCTCTTCTTTACATCTTCTTGAATTATTGTTTAATACTGACCCTTTATGGAAACCATATATACAATGGATTGCTAAATTAGCATCCACTAAAATTGCTTCTGTTTATTGTGCTCACCATTTTCTTACTCCTGATTCCATTTACCTCTAGAAATTTCTTATTAGTCTCTGTATGGAATACTGTTGTCATACTTGGACTTGTTCTTCTAATGATGTCTTCTGTCAAATGTTTTCTTACTGTATCTCTTTTTTTTTTCTTTCTAATAACTCCCAACCTAATAGTGGTTCCTTGCAGCCTTGTTGGGAGTGAACCAGAATTAAAAAAAATAAAAAAAAAAATGATTTTTCACCATTTTTAATTTTAAGTTTTCACTGTAAGTCGTTTACACACTTACTGTAAGTTTAACAAAAGTTATTACAATATGTTAGATTACTCAAAAAGTATAAATTTATTAGAAATGAATTTTTGCAGCCGCCAATGTAGTACTATAAGGGTTAGTTTAAAATTATTCTCACTCTGAAATTTAAATCAATAATGTACTTATTTTGATCAAACTTTTAAAGCGCAGTTTTCCGTACTTATCGTAAGTGTTTCACACTTATCGTATATATTGTTGACACTTATCGTATATCTTAAAACCTGCTTTAGTGACTGGTTTATAATGCACTTGCGTTTTTAAATAAAAATTTAATGCTTTAGTAACATTTTAATAAACGTTTTTAGGTATATAAATTAAAAAAAAGACTATTAAATAAACATTAATTATATAGTAATGAAAATATTATTTTTAATTAAAACTAAAGATTTTTAAAACATTTCCATTACTTTAGTATAAATCCTTTAACATTTTATTACAGGAAAGTATAGAGTTTCATCATAATTATCTGAGTCTTATTTTATAATTATTGTTAACAATGGAATTCGTTTTCTGACTCAGTTTCAAGGCTTACTTTTTCTTTTGCGACTTTCTTTTTCTTTTTCAAGATTTTTCATTTAATAACTTTTTCTCTATAACCATTTGTTTCTTTCTTAATCTTTCTTCCTCTATTTTTGACATTTTATCTGCAGCTAATTGTTTCTTTCTTAATTTTTCATCATTTATTTGTGACTTTTCTTGAAATTTTGTCTTTTGAATTTGCTGTCACATTTCAGATGTTACAACCAATGGTAAACGTTATATTTTGCACTTGGACATTTAGACTGGTTGTTTTGGCCATATTAAAACATATTCAATTAGATTTATGATTTCTGCTGCTATTTTCAAACTAGAACAAGCTGATTTTGGTTCTATTACCGCTGCAATATTGCAATCAGGCACACAGTGGTTTATTTTGCACTTTTAGTGGACATTTGACTATACTGAGGAAAAATCTCTTTGTGCGACTTTAAAGCATGGGTTACAAGATATAATACAGGATTCTTATATAAAGTCTAAATACATTTTTTTTTGTTTTTTTTTTTTTTTGTTTTTACGTCAGTTGGATAAAAACATTTGAAAGAAAGAAAATTTAAAAAGTTAAAATTAGAAAAAGACGCTTTTTTAGAATATGGATCAAAAGAAGTCATTATAAGAATAAGTGCAAAGACTAATGAAAGTAGCTCAGTCTTTGAACCTGCTGATAAGAATGATGAAGAAACCAGTCTGTATAGGATGATAAAACATTGGTCAGCCCTATCAAGGAAACATCAGTTAAGAAGATCACAAAAGCTCTGGGAAAATGTGCAGGTATTATAATTAGTTGCATATAATATATATATATATATATATATATATATATATATATATATATATATATATATATATATATATATATATATATATATATATATGTATATATACATATATATATATATATATATATGTATATATATATATATATATATATATATATATATATATATATATATATATATATATATATATATGTGTAAAAAGTGTGTCTTCTTATAATGGTACGAGTAGTACGCATGGTACAAGTAGTACACATGTTAATCTAAGGTCATTATATCATTATCTGATATAAAGATTTTTTTTGTAAACATTATGTATTTTATTTTTACAATTTTTTTTATTTATATTTTATTATTTATTAAAATAATTTTATACCAAAAAAACAAACAAACAATTAAACAAAAAAAAACATACTAATTTTTCAACAGCACTTTCTTTCATTTTACTTTGCACTGTACTGTTGACAGTTTCTTTGAGATATTCTTGATTGTAGCGCTCTGCCAATATCACTTTCTGAAACTCTTCTAACTAAAAATTAAAAATAAAGACTTATGGTTAGGTTAATTCTTCCCTCCCTCTTAGATAACTTAATTCTCCCCCACCTCTTTCCTAGAAAAAAATATTTGATATATTTCATAATCCAAACAAACAATATTTATTTTCAAATGTAACTAAAAAAAATATTTTTTTTCTATTTAAAATTTAATTGTCTATTGAACAAATCCAAACAGAATATAAAAATGTTTTGATTTTTTTAGATCATTTTACATGTAACTTAAAAAAACTCTAAAATAAAATTGCCAATCCTCCTGAAAAAATGTTTAAATATACAATACACCTTAAAAACATTTTGAAAAATTAAAAAAAAATTAATCTGATAATATTAATATGCTAATTTAATATTATTAGTCGAATTGCGTCATTTTCTAGGCTTATCTATTTTAAAATAGTTTCTAGGCTTTTCTATACGCATTTTTTTTTTTAATTTTATTTACTAACAACGCGTATTACGGGTTGCTTACTGCTAGTTTACTTTATTAGTGTTACTAAATTTCCTTTCCTTTAAAGATATAACTCATTGTTTTCTTTTGTCTTAATTTTATTAGCGATACTTACTTTTCTTTGAAGATATAACTCTCTGTTTTCCTCATCAAGACTGGCACATAGTTCTCGACCAGCCTGTAAACAAAACACAAAATTTTTTTATTTTGTTATACATAAATGATTAAAAAGATGTTGCTATAGAAAAATAAAATAAAAAAACAAAAAAAACAATTTAAGCTAAACTTTTTGCAATGGTCAGTAATTTATTTTTGCATAAAACATAAATTCTGTTGCTATATGTAACTGAATTAAGACTGTGCGGTTAACTGAACCAAACCATTCTTTCGGTGAAAACCCAAAACAAAAAAACCAAGCCGAGCCGATCTAATTATTTAAAATAAAATAAAAACCGAACCGTAACCGAAAAAACTTTGAAAACCGATCTAAAATTTTGAGATTTCATAAAAAAATTTCAATACTAAATGTTATCAAAAACTATTAAATAATACATAACTTTTATTTAATTTAAGAAATTTCAAACCACAGAAATCAAAGTAAAATAGGGAACAATTTAAACATAATAAAATAGTCCGCAAACAGCAGACTTGAAATAGCCCTGAAATTTTTGCAAATGTTGCGAACCACGATGGAGTAAGATTTTTTGATAGTTAGTCTTGTAAAATGTAAGTATTGTGCAAGTTTTTTCTAAAAAGCTGCATTTTTATTTTATTTAAATTTCTAATATTGTTTATAATATATACCTTATAACATTGTTATTTTGAAAGCCTTGTTTTCTAAACTGTTTTCATTATTTAAATAATAAAAATGATATAATCAAAAAAAAAATTTTCTTTAAATATTATTAATGGTTTTAGGAGCATGCAAGATGTAAAATAATTTAATAATTGAATTGTAGCTAATAATGAAGAGTTTATAAAAACAAAATTACACATTCCGCGTTTTAAAAATAAATTCTTCTAATGTTCTAAAAAATAACTAAAACACTTTTTAAGGATTTTGAAAAATTCTTAAGTTAAATTTATTTTATACTTAATACTTTTCATAATTAAGTTTTTATTTATGTTTATTTTTTTATGTTTATTATACAGTTTAGTTGTCTCACTAATCATTTTTATTTTATTCACATTAAAGATACAGAAAGAAAGTGGTATTTGGAAATTCTTTAAAAAGTCAAGTAAATTTGAAGCAAAATGTAAAATTGGCTTCAAATCTTACAAAATAAACTGTGGCAGTGCTTCAACAATAACCAGCCACGTCAAAACTAAACATGAAGCACCATGGAAAGAACATGTTTTAAAAACGACCAAGATACTTTATTTTTATTTTTTTTATTTGCATTCACTCCCAACAAGGCTGCAAGCAACCACTATTAAGTAGGGAGTTACTAGGAAAAAAAAAAGAACAGAGTTATAGAGCAAGGAAACTGTTGACAGAAGACTTAAAAAGTTGAAGGTTGTATGAGTCAGGAAAACATGAAGATGGGAGAGAGTTCCAAAGGATTGAAGTGCGGGGTAAAAAACTAGACGAATAAAAGTTTTTAGAGCATGCAGAGACAGATACAGTAAACAAATGAGACTTAACTGAATGACGAGTAGAATAAGAATGAATTTTAGTTGATGGAAGTAGAGATGATAACTCCTTTGAGCAGTGACCATGATAGTATTTGTAGAAAAGAGAAAGAGATGCAACTTTACGACGATGGGAAAGAAGCTCAAGCTTAGCAGATAGTCCAGGTCCAACAACATTTACAATGCGTTTTTGGACCTTGTCAAAAAGAGAAATTGAATCATTAGAAGAACCAGCCCAAATATGACAAAAGTATTCCATACAGGGACGAATAAGAGATTTGTAGACGTAGAGAATGGAATCAGAAGTAAGAAAACGGCGAGCACGATAAAGAGAAGCAACCTTAGCAGAAGCTAATTTAGCAATCGATTGTATATAAGGCCTCCATAAAAGGTCAGTAGTAAGCAATAATCTAAGAAGACGTAAAGAGGAGGACTCATTAAGAGAATTGCCATTCATTAATATAGGAATGTTGACCATATTACGGTAGTTGTTTGCAGTAAACTACTGGGTTTTGTTAGAGTTGAAATTCACAAGCCACTGTGAACCCCAATCTATTACTGAAGTGAGATCGGATTCTAGATCAGCTGCTTGTTCTAGGCGATCGAAAAGAGAAGACTTTTTGTCAAGGCAGGAGTATAATGTTGACTCATCAGCAAAAAGAGCTACTTTAGATGAAAGGTTGTCAGGAAGATCGTTTATGTAGATAAGAAACAAAACAGGGTCCAGGATGGAACCTTGGGGAACCCCAGAAGTTACTGGAAATAAAGAAGAGTGTTGGCCTTCAAGAATGACTTTAATAAACCGGTTAGAAAGAAATGATTTGATAATCTCAAAAACTTTCCCAGAAACACCATATGAAGCAAACTTATGGAGAAGACCAGCATGCCAAACTTTGTCGAAAGCTTTAGATATGTCGAGAGCAATAGCCCTAGCCTCACCGCCTCCATCTAATGCACGATAAAATCTTTCAGTTGCAGCAGTTAGCAAGTCGGCCGTAGAGCGAGAGGATCGAAAACCGTATTGATTGTCTGACAGCAGTTTATTTGACTCAAGATGAGATGCGAGGAATTTGTTGATCAAAGACTCAAAGACCTTGCTAATAACACAAAGAAGGCTGATCGGTCAATAATTGGAGGGATCAGAATTTTCTCCAGAGTTTTTGAATATTGGAACCACAGATGCCATTTTCCAACAAGCAGGAAAACAAGACTCAGTCTAACACTTGTTAAATAGTTTAGAGAGAATTGAAGAAAGTTCTGGAGAACAATTCTGCAAGACTGTGACAGAAATGTTGTCTGGACCACAAGCTGTAGACGAGTTTAATTGAGATATGACTTTAGCAACAGAAGCCGGAGTGATTTGAATGTCTAACAATGGGTCAACCTGTTTGACTGGAATGGAAGGAAGAGATTGTCCATAAGATTCAAGAGTGGAATTAGAAGAAAAGTTCTTTGGAAATAGTTCTGCCTTATCCTTGGGAGAGGTAATAAGATCAGTCCCATGACTGAGGGATGGAATATTAGATCCACCCTTGTTAATAATGCTGTTGAAGATTTTCCAAAAGTCTTTAGAGCCTAACTTCTGTGATAAGATACAAGATTTAGTAAACTGAGAATAATGGAGTTTAGCATCAGAAAGCACCTTTTTACATCGATTTCTTGCAATAATAAATAGCCGTTTGTTCTCAAGAGAGTTGTTCTTTTGAAAAAGATGAAAAAAATGATTACGATTGGATATAGCAGCCGCACAAGAAGGAGAAAACCGTGGAGTAGAATGAGGCTTGACTTGAAACCAACGAGAAGGAATAAAAGCTTCCATTCCAGCCTGAATCCAGGAGGTTATGTAGGAGGCGCATTTATCAGCTGAGAAAGAAAAAGCATCAGCCCAAGGACCATCACGAAGAAAATCACGAAAAGAATCCCAGTCAGCTTTAGGGTAGTAGTAGGTGGTGCGATGATAAGGTGACCCCAAAAAAGAAGTACGAGAAGAAAGATTTATAGAGATCATTGCATGGTCAGAACCACCTAAGGGAGAAAAGGAAGAAACTGAACATAAGCTAGGGTCAAAGACAAGACATAAGTCAAGGATTGAAGGTAAATGATTAGGGTTGTCAAGAAAACAAGTCACAAAGTCAACTATCTGAGTAAGAAATTGAGAAACGCAGAAGTTAAAGGCTTTAGTGCCAGCAGGATCAGTGGTGTTAGAGCCAAGCCATTCAGTGTGATGGTCATTAAAATCACCAACAACAACAATATTGGCATGGTCAAATTAATCAGAGATAACATCTAAAAGAGTGCAATCATGGGAAGAAGGAGAACGATAAAGTACAAAGAGAAAAGTGATAGAGTGAAGAGGTGCTAGGCGAAAGCACATAAAAGAATGGTCAAAGAATTCGAACCTGGTTTCACGACAAATAGGGGAATTAATGCGTATGTATACCCCTAAATCTAGCATGTGACTACTGGAGTCTTTATGAATCAAAGGATAGTACCCATCAACACTGACATCTGAAGAAGGAATTGCAGAATTTAAATTTGTTTCACTGAGTACAAGCAAGTCTGGTAAATTTTGCAGGAGGTAAGACTCAACTGACGGAAAGTTGCTTCGCAGACCGCGAATATTTGTAAAAGATATATTAAAACATTTAGGTGGTGGTGATGGTTTTTTAGGTTTAAAATTTTTGGTTACTTTTGTCATGATTTGGGTTTAATGAGAACTTGACTCATTCATAGATAGAGCACAGCCTCCTAATCAATGAGCTATGCAGTTGTCTCAGTCCTGTTAATTAACCCTAAGCCGTGACATAGGACTCCTTATGTGGCCTTGACAATGCACACCAAAAGCATTAACAGGGACACCATCCATGCGCAACATGGCACTGTTAATACTATGATATTTTGCAGCTGTTGATGGAATCAGCCTCTCTGAGAGCTACCACAGAGTTGGGGAACCTTACTACCAGCCGGCCTCATAACCATTAAACTGAGTTTTAGAGCTGTACACTTATATGGAGATAACAGGAAGAGTTGCATAGCCATTATCAAGGAGGCATAAGCAAAATTCTATGAGTAGAGTCAAGGAGATCCAGCATTCATCATCCTAGGCAGGAAACAATGTAACACAGGTTACATCTACGCCAGCCTAATAGATGAAGAAGGGGTTCGAGGCTGGTTAGCAGAATTTTTCTGCTTACCCCTAAAGTCTTTGCCTAGGAGGCCTTCTACAAGACAGTAGCTGGATGCAGTTAACATCTGCCCAAGATGAGTGTTTTTATCGAGACACCATCTCTAGCCTTTACTCAACCAAGAGCCCCAAGGCAAGGGAATTCTTAGTCAGAGTTTATTTCTCCTAGCCTTTGCCTAAGAAGAGCACACTCTGCAAGGCAGCAAGGCTTGTGGCAGGAGGTACTGGGTTATGTGATACCAGTAGCAAGATTGATCTTGATTATCCTGACCTGACCTGGAGTAGTTAAAAGAAGTTACTTCCCGCAACAGTACTTTAAGAAAACCAGGCACAACATTTTGGAAGTGCATTAGGAAAAACAC